GGGTGGGGAGCTGGCTTGGTCATGCCTGGTAGGTTGGGAACTACAGGTGTGGGAGGGAGGAGCAGCAAGTACAGAATGGAACTCTCACAGGAGCTCGGAGTGGGCTGGGGGCCGTGGGAGTGGGAGACCCATATGTTCAAGCGTGGCAGGGGCGTGGTGTGGGCGGCTGTCTTGCTGCGGTGTGAATTTCATCTTTGCTGCCAGGCCCAGGGGCTCTGGTTAAGCAGAGCTGCTCTCCAGGTGTGAGGCCTCTTTGCTCCCCAGGATGTGCCTAGTTTAGCACACGCTGACCGCTTCAGCCCACAGCTGCCACCACACCTGCTTGCCTTGAAGGTGCTGAGAGGACAGTGGGTGAGGAGGGCAGGCAGTGGCATTGCTCAGGCATCTTTAGCTATGAACTGACAGCACCGGAGGAGAAGCCAACAGGGTTTGCTTCTGTCTGTGCAGTGGCACTTCTCACGTGGCTGATACTTGGCACCTGCTAAGCTGGGGATTAATTCCATGTCTGGTTTCTGAGAATGCCTTTTTATAACCATCTTCCTCTTCTTTCCTCTAGAACCTCATGCAGTTTCATACTGTGGGCACCAAGACCAAGTTGTCCACCCTCACCCTGCTCTGGCCCTGTCCCATGACCTTTGTTGCCAAAGGGCGCCGCAAAGCAGAGGCTGAGAATAAGGCGGCAGCCTTGGCCTGCAAGAAGCTGAAGGTGAGTCCAGGAGGGTCCCTGGTGTGAGCAGGAGATGTCTTGGATTCCCTGCAATCATGGGCAAGTTGGTCCACTTTTCCAGGCCAGGCCTTTGGCCTGGGCACAGAAGTACCTGGTGTCCCAGCCCTTGCTTCTCAGGCTGTGTGGCTGCTGTTTCCAGGACTTCCCCACAGTTCCTCTAGAAGGGCTCTGTCAGCGCAGCCTTTGAGAACTGTGGGCCAGAACCTTGGTGAAGCTGACAGGAGACATGCCCATCATTCTGAATGGCATGAAGCTAGAGAAACGGTGCCTGTTGAGTGGCAGACTTGGTGTCTAAAAAGATCTTGAGAACCTGGGCTTTGTGACCAAAATGAATAATAAGACATTTATCTGGGATGAAGATGGAAGGCGCAGTCGACATCAAGGTGAAGGCAGCGTGGCCTGCCATTGGCAGTTCCTTTGAAGAGGATCTGGAGGTCAGCAGATGCCCCATAGTGGGGTTAGCATCATGACTGCCTGGGAAGTTAGTGATTTAAACCTATGTCAGTAGAGGTTTAGTTTGCATAGCAAGACAGGAAAGAGGCCCTGCTTTACTCTGAATAGTCAGCTAAACCTTTGGTGCATGTTTGGCTCTGGGAACCCCATTTTAGATACAGCCAATGTTGAGAGGTAACGAGAGCCTGGAGAATAAAGGAGGTACAGGGATGGGTACAGAAGAGTCACATGTGTCCCCTCTGCAGAGCCTGGGCCTGGTGGACCGGAACAACGAACCACTCACCCACGCCATGTACAATCTGGCCTCTTTGCGGGAGCTGGGCGAGACCCAACGCCGGCCATGTACCATCCAGGTGCCTGAGCCCATCCTCCGCAAGATAGAGACTTTTCTGAACCATGTAAGAGAACCCCTCACGTCCCTGTCCCCACTCGCCTGCCTCCATTTCCTCCAGACTGAATGTTTCTACCTATAACAGGCAGTAGTAACTCCCCATTTTCCCCACTGGGGACAGAGCCTGGGAGCGCCTTTGCCCCGAGAAGCTTAGCCTTGCTCATAACGGTCCTAGGGCTGTCACGAACTGAGTCATCTGCCCAGGGGTTGGGCCACAGCATGTGACCCAGTGAATCGCCTGGAGAGGGGCTGGGTGCGAAGGAGGAAGGAGGTATTTCGTGCTCACCACTTTGTTTGCCTCTCCTGTCCCCCAGTACCCTGTGGACAATTCATGGATCTCCCCAGAGCTCCGGCTGCAGAGTGATGACATCTTGCCCTTGGGCAAGGACTCAGGGCCCCTGAGTGACCCTATCACAGGCAAGCCCTACCTGCCCCTGTCAGAAGTAGAGGAGGTGCGTTTGAGCCAGAGCCTGCTAGAGCTGTGGCGGCGGCGGGGGCCCATCTGGCAGGAGGCCCCCCAGCTCCCTGTGGACCCACATCGGGACACCATCCTCAATGCCATTGAGCAGCACCCGGTGGTAGTCATCTCCGGGGACACGGGCTGTGGGAAAACCACACGCATCCCCCAGTTGCTACTGGAACGCTACGTGACCGAGGGGCGTGGTGCCCGCTGCAATGTGATCATCACCCAACCACGCCGCATCTCGGCTGTATCTGTGGCGCAGCGGGTCAGCCATGAACTGGGCCCCTCCCTGCGCCGGAATGTGGGGTTCCAGGTGCGGTTGGAAAGCAAGCCTCCAGCCCGGGGCGGGGCCCTGCTCTTCTGCACTGTGGGCATCCTGCTACGGAAGCTGCAGAGCAACCCCAGCCTGGAGGGTGTGAGCCACGTCATCGTGGACGAGGTGCATGAGCGGGACGTGAACACTGACTTCCTGCTGATTCTGCTCAAGGGCCTGCAGCGCCTTAACCCAGCCCTGCGGCTGGTGCTCATGAGTGCCACAGGCGATAATGAGCGCTTCTCCCGCTACTTTGGTGGCTGCCCTGTCATCAAGGTGCCCGGCTTCATGTATCCTGTTAAGGAACACTACCTGGAGGACATCCTGGCCAGGCTGGGAAAGCACCAATACCCACACCGGCACCGGCATCATGAGGTGAGGGGACATGCGCCCACTTCATCCCACCAGGGCTTCAGGCCATTCCTCCCTGTCCCCTTGGCTTGGTGACCTAGGGCAAGTTACCTGCCCCAAGCCTTGGTTTTCTCTATAGAAATGGAATGATTGGGTCTCCAAGATTCGGGTGTGGTGAGGGTTGCAGGTGACATGTCAGGTGCCTCAGCCTCACTGAAACCCTCTCCCTGGGGCTGTGACTGGCCTCTCTTCCCCCTACCCCAGTCTGAGGATGAATGTGCACTCGATTTGGACCTCGTGACTGATCTGGTTCTGCACATTGATGCCCGCGGGGAGCCAGGTGGGTGCTTCCCCCTTCTCTCCCCCACCCCCCCACCTCATGTGCTGGGAGCAACTGCTCATGCCTGCAGGGCCTTTTACAGGTGGGATCCTCTGCTTCCTGCCTGGCTGGCAGGAGATCAAAGGGGTGCAGCAGCGCCTACAAGAAGCCCTGGGCATTCACGAGAGCAAGTACCTCATCCTGCCAGGTGAGAGCCATGTGGAGGGCTTCATGGCCCCCAGACACCACTCCTGCCCTCTGTCTTGGGGACTGACCCAACTGGGACTCAAGGGGCCAGGGTTTCTGACCAGACTGCACTACTTTTTGCTGGTTTTGCAACCTTTCCTGAGCACCTTGACCTGGGCCTCTCACAAAAAAGGTGAAAATTCTTGCCTTGCCCTCATCATGGGGGTTCTGGCAGAGCAGTGCTGTAACCAGTGTGTGCTTGCTGCCCACCAGTGCACTCCAACATCCCCATGATGGACCAGAAGGCCATATTCCAGCAGCCACCAGTTGGGGTGCGCAAGATTGTCTTGGCCACCAATATTGCTGAGACCTCCATCACAATCAATGACATTGTGCATGTGGTGGACAGCGGTCTGCACAAGGAGGAACGCTATGACCTGAAGACCAAGGTGTTACCCCATCTCCTGGGTCCAGCCAGCCCCTGGGGGAAGAAATCCAAGTTCCAAGGTGGCCCCCAGTCCAGATCAGCCTTGAACCTGCTGTGTGTGTCTGGAGAAGGCCACACTTCTGGGGTCTCAGTATCCCTGTTAAAGAAGGGGGGCTGTTCAGGGGTGAGGTGATGGCCAGGCACTGGGGAACACCGAGGAAGGCCTGTGGCATCTGTGTTGCTGCTCACCTGCCCCCTCCCCCAGGTGTCCTGCCTGGAGACGGTGTGGGTGTCACGAGCCAATGTGATCCAGCGCCGGGGCCGGGCGGGCCGCTGCCAGTCAGGCTTTGCTTACCACCTGTTCCCGCGGAGCCGGCTGGAGAAAATGGTCCCATTCCAAGTGCCAGAGATCCTGCGCACACCCCTCGAGAACCTGGTGCTGCAAGCCAAGATCCACATGCCTGAGAAGACGGTAGGCTGGGGAGTAGTGAGGCGGGCTGGCCTTTGGAGTGGCAGGTTGGGTGCAGGCTCACAGGGAGCCCTGCTGTGCTCCTGTGGCAGGCGGTGGAGTTTCTCTCCAAGGCTGTGGACAGTCCAAACATTAAGGCAGTGGATGAGGCTGTGATCTTGCTCCAGGAGATTGGTGAGTGGGCAGGGCCAGGCTGGGCTGTGGAGTGGCTGTCAAGGGTGGGCCTGACAGCTGAGCTGTTACAGGGGTGCTGGACCAGCGAGAGTACCTGACCACTCTGGGGCAGCGCCTGGCCCACATCTCCACCGACCCCCGGCTGGCCAAGGCCATAGTGCTGGCCGCCATATTCCGTTGCCTACACCCACTGCTAGTGGTCGTTTCCTGCCTCACCCGGGACCCCTTCAGCAGCAGCCTGCAGAACCGAGCAGAGGTGGACAAGGTCAGACCATCTCTCCCCACAGCCCTTTGGCACTCCCTTGCAGCCCTCCACCACCTCCTGTCCTGAGGTAGCCTCTTGTAGCTCCTCCCATGACCCTCCTGCCCCTCCCAGGTGAAGGCACTGTTGAGCCATGACAGTGGCAGTGACCACCTGGCCTTCGTGCGGGCTGTAGCTGGCTGGGAGGAGGTCCTGCGCTGGCAGGACCGCAGCTCCCGTGAGAACTACCTGGAGGAGAACCTGCTGTACGCGCCCAGCCTGCGCTTCATCCATGGTCAGTGGGGTTCTATGTCTGGTCTCCAACCCCACTCCTCCCACCGGAACTGGGCTTCTGTCCTGCCCAGCCTGTGGATAGGGGGGCCCCAGGTTCACCCAACGTTGCCTCCCCAGGACTAATCAAGCAGTTCTCCGAGAACATTTATGAGGCTTTCCTGGTGGGGAAGCCCTCAGACTGCACCCTGGCCTCAGCCCAGTGCAACGAGTACAGTGAGGAGGAGGAGCTGGTGAAGGGCGTGCTGATGGCGGGTCTCTACCCCAACCTTATCCAGGTGCTGCCTTGGGGAGGGGCTGGCTAGGCCCCAGCCTCCTTCTCCATCCCCAGTTCCTTACCCTTTTCTGTCACCCCTGCAGGTGCGGCAGGGCAAGGTGACCCGGCAGGGCAAGTTCAAGCCCAACAGTGTCACATACAGGACCAAATCAGGCAACATCTTGCTGCACAAGTCAACCATTAACAGGTGGTGGTGGTGGGGTGGGGGCAGGCAAGGCTGGGCAGGGCAGCTAGGATGGGCCAGGAGGGTGGACTCACCCAGGCCTTTATCCCTCAGGGAGGCCACACGGTTACGGAGCCGATGGCTGACATATTTCATGGCTGTCAAATCCAACGGCAGTGTCTTTGTCCGGGACTCCTCCCAGGTGCACCCACTGGCTGTGCTGCTACTAACCGATGGGGACGTCCACATCCGTGGTGGGTACCTGCAGACCTCCCACCCCTCACTGCTCCTCTTGGGCTGGTCTGTCCTCAGGGGCCTGGCCTCACCTTGGCTCCTGGTCTTTTCCTTTTCCCTAGATGATGGGCGCCGGGCCACCATCTCACTGAGTGACAGTGATCTGCTGAGGTTGGAGGGTGACTCGCGCACTGTGCGGCTGCTGAGGGAGCTGCGCCGGGCCCTGGGCCGCATGGTGGAGCGGAGCCTGCGCAGTGAGCTGGCCGCTCTGCCCTTTGAGGTACAGCAGGAGCACGGGCAGCTGCTGGCCCTGCTGGCAGAACTGCTGCGTGGGCCCTGTGGCAGCTTTGATGTGCGCAAGTCGGCTGATGACTGAGCCCTGCGTCTGCTGGGGCTGTGTACAGAGTGCAAATGTTTATTTAAAATAAAGTTCTATTTATCCCTTGTGAGCATCGCTATCCGCTGGGGGCTCCTCCCTTGGGGCCTCAGCACCCTGGGCTGTTGGCCAAGGTTCCCCAAACCTTAAGAATGAAGGTGGAGAGGCTGGAGCTCAAGGTCTTGAGAGGAAGGGGGTTAGAACCCACCCTCTCGAGCTTGAACCACCAGTGCTGCTAACCAGCTTGCATTGTTGGGCCAACCCAGTCTTTTCACAGCTGCTCCTATGGGTACCCACACCATGGGTGGCATGTCACAACTGTCTTTGCAGACTGGGACAGCAAGTGTTGAGCAGCCCTCTCCTGGGTCTCCCTCCCTGATGCAGTGGTCTGGTCTGGTCGCCACCTCCTTGCCCAGGCAGATGGGGAAGTTCCACAGACAGCCACGGCTCTCTGGGACCTTAACCCTCAAGGGCCTCAGGCTGTACAGCAGCCCTGCGACAGCTGGACTTTCCCTTGGTCATATCCACATGTTCACAGATGAGGAGCTACAGTCATTAAGACTGCATAGTGCACACCAGTCCCTCAATGCAAGAGGACAAGCCAGGGGACAGAGTCGTGGATGCTGGAGGTAGAGACAAACCAGAGCAGACAGGGCCTGCATGGTGGGACATCACAAGCTTTATTTACTTTTGAAATTGTTACAATAGAATCACAGACATACGTAATGGTTGAGCCATAAGCTAATTGGGCAGTACAGAAATGTCCCACCCCCCAGATGGCTGCAGCGTAGTACACAGCACAGGGGCCTCTGGTCCTCACCTGTCAGGTCAGCCACTTCAGCCTCTCTGGTTTGTGGGACCCTTCAACGGTGCTATGGCCAGGCCACCCAGAGAGTTCTCCACTTAGGTCACCTCCCTGACCCCAACCCATGACTAAAGGAGTGAAAGGAGCCAGTCTGCAGTTTACCTTGGCATCTGTGTGGCTGGTCAACACAGGGCACAGGTTCCTTTAGGTCCTGTACCGTCACCCCTCCTGTCTCTCCTCATGCCCCCCCCACACACCCACTTCCTTCTCCCCAGCTTCATCTTGCCCCTTCCTCTTGCTGACAAAGCATGGGAGCTCTGATCTCCCTGCACAGTCGAGCATTCTAGACGGTCTGGCTCTGGAAGCACTTTCTTGCCAAGACCTGTGACTTCTTGGTATGTGCTTGGTAGCTGGGGATGGGGTAGTACCGCAGAAATGGGAGGACTGGCCCCGCCAAGGTGCTCTCCCTTTACATGGAGATCAAATCTGAACCTACGTCAACAGCCCCTACCTTCTCAGCTCAGGGACAGGATCAGAGGGCAGTAGGGCGAGGTACCAAATCTCTACTGCAAAAAGTGCCCTTTGAGAGATGCCCTAAAACTTCCCAGGCCATTTCACTACAAACAGGTAGGTTTTAATCCTTTATTAGAAACCATGCAAACTTTAATACAAAAAATACAAGTGCAGTAAGAATCTTCGTGTCAATATGATTCCCGGGATTTCTCCTCATTGCAGCCATCCCGTGGGCAGGCCTAGCTGGGACACCCCTCCGCAGGCTGGCCTGGCCTGGCCTCGCCTTGCCTCCCTCTCCTCTCCAGTCAGGCTGAAAGGGACGTGGGATGGCCTCAGTCTCATACCTTTATTTTTAAATTTCCAGACCTGATTCCCCAATACCCACACAAGTTCTGGACATCTCGGGCTCCCTGGGAGCTGAAGGCTCGAGTGTCCTAGGCCTGCAGGTCTGGAAGATTTCGACCTTCATGGCCCTTCCCAGCACTGACCTTTTATCTCCCACCAGATCCCAGGAATGAGACAGAGATGCCAAAACCAGCCTCTTGGTTAGAAAAGAAAAGCAGCATACACGCAAAATGCCAGAACAACCAGTCCACACTCTGAGCAGCCCCTAGCGTACCCTATTTGCCCACCAGGCCACGCCTCCGCATACCACCTGCCCTGCCCACTCCATCTCCAGAGCTCTGACCTGCCAGGCCCCCAGTGCCTGACCTGGCTGGAGGCTGGAGGATCTCCCCTCCCTGTTTCCTTTAACACCTGCTGAGGACTTTCCTTTAGACATGACTTCAACCTGCACAACTATTCCACCAGTTTTTAGGTTATTAAAAAAAATGATAAAAGAAAAAAAAAGTATGACAGCAGCTAGAAAGGTAGGGGAGGCAGCGGGCACAGGCAGCACTGACCCCTAACTAACTTGGGGCAGGGTAGCAAGAGGTGTCTGGCACCACCCGCGTGGTGGGCACCATTGTGGGGTCAAAGGGAGAGGCAGTGGCTTAGCGAGCTCCAGGGACACAGTCAGGACCGGGCCATCCATCACGTGGAGATTCCACTCTTCCCTCCAGGTGGATCCAGCAGAGGGAGCGTATGTCGGTTGTTCTTGGGTTTGGTCCAAAAACCCAAACAAAGAGGAGGTTGGAATCTGATTCCTTCCTCTTAGATCCCCCAGATCCCACATTAGCCTCCCCTACCACTCTCCTCCCACGCTTCCCCCTGGAGCAGTGATGCGATGACGGGCCAGGAGCAAAGCAAGGAGCTGGGCCTGGGGCAAGGACTGGAAGGAGGTGTGGGGGCGACTGCTGCTGCCCTAGGCAAGGGAGGCAAGAGGGGAGGAGGGAGGAACCTAGAGGGCTGCCCAGCACCCAAGTGGTCACAGGTCTAGTGGGCAGCCCGGGGAAGGGAGCCAAAGGCCCGGGTGCCTGAGCTGGGGCCACCAAGGAAGTGGGGGGGACGAGAGACAATGTCGGCCCCATGGTCGGTGCGGGCCCTGGCGTTTGCCCGGAACGTCAGCCTGTAGGTCTCAATCTGCAGTGACACGGGAGGAGGGAAGGGAGAGGGTAACGAAGGAGACAAGAGGGGCAACAAAGGGGACGGAAGACGAGACCAGAATGTCATCATTAGATGCCTGGAAAATAAAAGGTGGGTTCGTTAAAATTGAGGCCACACTCTAGTCAAAAAACAAAGGAGTTTCAATATGTAGCCAGTGGCAGGGCCCCTGGCTGGCCCTCAGGCCAAGCCCAGCCACTTACTTGTCTCCTGGATCTGGCAGTCCAAGGTCTGGGCCTCCCTTTGGTCACCACCCCCTGCCAGGGTGGTGTGGCCACTGAGGCCACTGGCTGAAGTGGGGGCGCCAGCTTCAGGCGCTGCCTCAGGGATGGCCAGCTCCTCCCCAGCGGGGGGGCCCGGACACGGAGGGGCCTCGCTGCCACCGCCCTCAGTCTACAATGAAACAGTGGGGGAGACAGTGCAGGGTCAGTCCGAGAGGGAGTGGGATGGAATGATGGTGGTGGGTTTTACACGCAGCCCCCACCCGCGCTGCCGCTGCCCCGGCCCCCCTCTAATTAAGGTGCAGTTGTTTGGAGACTCTAGGCCAGGTGCTCCCCACCCTACTCCACCCGTGAGAGGGGCTCCAGGCAGACGGCCTGGTGCAGGGCAGGAAAACAGGCTCTGGACTAGAGCACAGCCCCAGCCCAGCAGTGCAAAACCCGGGCTAGTGACACACTGGAGCCGCCTCTGTGAAATGCATGGCTTTGGCTTTGGGAAGCCTCTCTTAGGTGAGAGGTACCAGGCTTCTCAATAAGGCTGACAGCAAGTACAATAGCTATGACAGCAGATCGTTAGCAACAAGCCTGAGGGACCATCTCATGACAGCAGTCTGAACTTGGTTGGGAAGCAGCAATGCCGCAGGCCGGTCAGTATTAGAAAAATAATTCCAGAAACAATAAAGAAAGGGAAATAACATAAATAAAGAAAAGAATCCAAGACATGGGGTCAGAAAGGCCAGATGTGAACCCTGGTCTGTAGGCACTTGCCAAGAAGCCTTGATCAAGTGACTACAACAGAGCAAGTGCCCCACGGGGACAGCCTAGAGAGCTATCCAGCCTCACGGGGGCAGGAACGACATCCTGTGACAGAGCCAGGACCCCAAAACATTCATAGAGGCTAGTTGGGGCTAGAATTAGCGCTGAGGGAGGGTGGGGCAAAAGGGTGGGCTGGAGTGGCTGCTCTGATCCCCTCTCCTTGCTCTCCTTTCCCTGCAGCACAGAAGCCTGCAAGAGGACGCCCCACGGCCCCCTATCGGCAGATGACATGGAACAAAGGATAGACAGCCTCTTGGCACACAAAGGGTCTCACAGGACTGTGGAAGGAGGGAGGAAGGGAAGGACACAGGAAGGGCAGGGAGGAGAGGCCCAGCCAGTCCCAAGGAGGGGAAGCTCTGCCAGGGAGCCAGCGCTCTCCCACAGGCAGTCCCTCCAGAGGCAGGTGGACACCAGGCCTGCTGTCACTGGCAGGACAATGTGCTATCCTGCTACCAGGCTTGGAGTGGAACCTGATGTGGAACATGTATCCTCAGCCCTCTTTCATGAGGCAGCTGAGGACAACTGTACCATGCAGACCACTATCCTTGTGGAGACCTGTGTCCCAGCCCACAATCCCTCTGAAAATGGCTGAAATGAGCTCAAAAAGTAAGGAAGGCCATGGCTCTGGGGAAAAGGTTGTATATTCAGCTGGGGTCTCTTTACCTCTCCTGCCTAGCCCAGGACTGATGATGGACAGTGGGGAAACAGCAATGGTGTGAGGGAAACATGACTCCTGGAGAGACTGAGGGACGGTGACAGCGCCCACCTGCTGGGACCCAGACTCCACTGCATGCCCCACTCCTCCCCAGCTCCATCCCCCGATGGCCCACTCACTACCTTCACGGAACCTCCCGCAGGCAGGTGGCCCACATTATCCAGGGATCCCACCTTGGCCTGAGCCTTCTCCTTGAAGTTCAACTTCTGACTTTCAATCTTGACATCTCCTCCACCTGGAACCAAGAAGGCATCGGTCACTAAGGGTGGCAGAGGAATAATACCCCTGCAGGCAAAGCCCTGCTGGGAGCCTGAACAGCAATCCCACCTTGGCCAAGGACTAGCTAAGTGTCCAGTGTAGAAATAGGAAAATGGGACCTGCTCCCAGTGGCTCTGAGGACAGACGAAGAGGCACAGTGAACATGTTTGTCAAAACAGGGCTGCTGGTCTCAAACCCAGGCTGAGGCTGTATCTCCATCTGACCAGAGGGAAGAGCTCCACAGAAGTCACCCTCACGCGATCACAGCCTGCACCAGGACAGCTGCCGCACAGGCTGCGCAGGCCCGGAGTGCAGAGAGCAGCCTCCAGGGTGCCTCTAAGGGTGCCAGCTGCACGTATGCTTCTGGCTCTCTGGGCAGGTGACAACTTCCTCTGACAGGCTGTATAGTGCGCCCCAGCCTCATAAACGCTGTCTACCAGAGACAGGATCCTCGTTTTACAGCTGCTAGCACTGATGCTGGAAAAAAGATGTGACTTGTCCAAAGTCACCACCAAACTAGTGATTCACGGAGACAGGATGGAAATACAGGCTGTCTTAGCTGTTTAACAGAATCACATTGTAGTGACAAGAAGGAAGGGCAAACAGCCTGGGGCCTGTGAGTTGGGAAAGGGTGGGGCCAGTGCAAGGATCAAGAGCCCTTGAGCAGGGTGCTGGAGTAGGTGGCTGTACACAACACAATGTCAAGAGCTCACAGGGTGGCCACTGATCAAGGGCCAGCCTACCCTCACACAGCGTAGGAGCATGGCTTCCCTCTAAGCCCATCTCTGACTCTTCCATCTCCTCTCACCTCACATCGCAAACCTCAACACCCGCTTGACCAGAGTGGCTCAGCGGTTGAGCATAGACCTAGGATCCAGGGGATTGGGGTTCAATTCCTGGTCAGGGCACATGCTGGGGTTGTGGACTCCATCCCCAGTCGGGGGCGTGCAGGAGGCAGCCAATCAATGACTCTCTCATCATGGATGTTTCTATCTCTCTCTCTCCCCCTTCCTCTCTCTGAAATCAATAAAGATATATTTAAAAACAAAGCAAAACCTCAACACCCAGCTTCCTGCCAAATCTCCAGGTGTTCTCCACACTGGAGTCCTAGTCCCCCCAGCAGAAACTGGACCTCCAGACACTGAGTGTCACTAGAGAAGGAGGTATCTCACAAAAGTGGATTTTCCAGATAAAAGAGAGGAAAGAAAAGTCAGTTAAGAGCTGAGCTGTTCCCATCGTTTTAAACAGAACACATTCTAAAATAGAAGATAGTTTTCCTAAGAGGGAAGTTTTCTTGTCCTTCACCTTAACCGGTCCATGGTGACTGACCTCTGAGGCACCATATCCACCGGCCAGTGTGCCTGTAGCCGCAGCGAGACCTTCCTACCCCAAATCTGGACCTCCCAGAGCTGGTGGCTGATGCTGCACTGCTGGGAACACTCTTTGCTCCTGAACCTGACCAGTGTCTTGACCCCACTTTCTGGAGCTTCTTCAGCTAACGAGCCCCTGGAATGCACCTCTCCCCTGGGGCTCGATCAGCAGCACCATGCACACAGCACGTCAAGAAAAGGCTCATGCAAATGGCGGATTTCACCATGTGCTCCTCCTCCCACTGCGAGCTCAGCACCCCATCCCCACTCCCTGACAGGGGCTGAGGACTGCGCTGTTCCGCAGTGTGTCCTGGGTGAGGGTGGCCCCAGGAATCTTTATGGAATGACAGAGACATAAAGGGTGAAACCCAGTTGGCTGAGGCATCCCAAGGCAAGGGAGGCACCACTCACCAGGCTTGTGCTTGATGTTGGCCTTGGACCCACACTTGGAAGAGACCTTAGAGATGTCCACCTTCTTGTTCTGAATCTGAACCTGAGAAGAAAATAACAAAAATATTGCTTCTGAGGGAGAAAGGTCAAAACCACACTCTCTTTATTCCTCTTAACCAAGTTCAAGTTTTTTCTCTCCCTCTGTAAGCCCCCATCTTAGTCTGTTCAAGGTCAGGGTCACCTCTCAAAGTGCTTAAAAGAACCCTCGATCCATCCTGGCCCTGCGTGTAGCTTCTGACCTCACCTCCAGCCAGACCACACTGATGTTTCTACGCACACAAGCCCTTCCACCCCTACTCTATCCATGCATCCGCCAGACAGCTTTTCTCTCCATTTTCTGGACCCAACTCTCCTGAAACACCTTCTGTTCTATCTCAAGTCTTACCCATCAACTCCTTGCCCAGAGATAAACTGCAATAACGTTTTATAAAGCATATTTCCTTCCAGTTCTTTTCAATGCACTTTGCCCTCATAGCTGACAGCACAGATATCTATCTGTCTATAAATATACATATTTGGTAAGATGGCCAACAGACTCTCGTCCACACCTGCCCTGAGGGAGCCTTGGAAAAATATCCTGGTACCAGAAATGATGGTACGTCTTTAAATTAGGAAAGAACATCTATAGACAGGCGCTCCTGCTGGGTTCCTAGATGGGGATTCCAGGGTTCCTGTGAGGGATCCAGTTGTTCCCTGGTTTTGTGGAAGCGCTTAGCTTTCCACTACAACCAACTCCTCCAGGCAGTGGTCCTCAGAGCAGTGTTACACCTTATGGTGGACTTTCATCACAAGGCCGTTAAATGGCTACCTTGCAGGACCTTGTCTTCCTTTCTCCAGTGTCAGGAAATACAGTCTCCCTCTGTGTCAAGGGGACAGATGTGGCATCTACTGTATGTTTTCCCACCCACAGCCCAGGCCTGGCCAAGAAACTTCCCACAACCACCAGCTTGCCCAAGCCATCCTCACGCTTTTTTTGGCAAATCTTTTCAGTTTCATTTCAGCTTAGGGGGGAAGGCCTTCTTAAGTTCTGAGACAATCTCTAATAACTTTCTTTCCATTCACCCCACCCAATTTCACACTGCACACAAAAATGAATTTAGAAGTACCAAAGAATCCTCATCTTGGCCATCTGAGTATTGATGAGAGGCTGACCGTTGTGAGCCACCCTCACTCTTGTTTCTAGAGCTCTGCTTGTGCTGTTCCCTATCCCAGGAAGCCCACTGCATTCTCTTCCCTTCCTTCAAAGCCCAGCTCAAAGGCCACCTTCTGCAAAGCCTTCCCTGGCTCCAACTTAACTCCACCTCTTCTTCACATCACCTCCCGAACAGATATCAGCAACCACTGGACACCAACTGCTCCATGTAGTCAACAACTTTACAGAGCACCTACTACCAACAAAACAACAGCCTCCGCTTTGTCTCATCTTTGCAACAAGGCTGCACTTCTCCCTAAACAGGACCAATAGGAAGTGTACTTTTCCTGGCCAAAGATGGGGCAGCTGCTTAAAAAAAGCTGATCTTGCACTGACCCCAAGACCAACTGAGAGGAATGAGCAGCAGACACTCGCCATGGCCGGGCTCTCACCAAGGTGTGGAGACCGTGTTCTGCCCTTAAAGCCTCCACTTCTTTATCTCTTTCCTCGTCCTCAATTAAAGAATAGTTGATGAGGGCAAGTTTCACTTCATAGATGTATTCTAGCTGATAAATGTAGGAGAAATGCACCCCCACTGAACTCGTGGGCTGACATCACCATGAGAGAAATGACCAGAAGAATTAGACTCAGTATGCTTCTTTGATAGAAAGAACACACTACCTATGAAAGTCTTATAAAAATGTGGTGGAAAAAAATCAATATAAAGGAAGTTGAAGGACAAAGGAGTATGTTAAATGGGGATATAATCAGCAGAATCAGACTCTAGGACAAACCGCGTGGTTCACCCCCGAACAGCATTACCACACAAAAAAAACTGGAGAGGTAACGCATAGAGCAAACGAAACCGCAGATTAAGAGACAAGAGACACATCAAACACAATCACAATTTATGGACCTTACTGTGTCCTGATTCAGATAGCAGACCTGCATCATATGTTTGTGTGTATATTAAAGAATTTTTATCTTTTAAAGTTATATGCTGAAATATTTGCTGATGAATGACTTACCTAAGACTGGCTCCAAAATAATTAGGGTGGGCATATGAAGATTGGCCACAAATAAATGAAGCTGGGTAAGAAGTACATCTAGTCCGTTTCACTATTTTGACTTTTGTGTTTGCTTGAAATTTTTATAATGAAGTTTTTAAAAGCTTCACTACCTCCGAGACGTGGTTCTGCCTCCTCAGGCCAGGATAGAGTGGAGCCACAATCCCCGCCCCGCCCCCGCGCTACTCGCCTCCCCTCTGTGCTCCAGCTTTAGGGAGCCATGTGCTACTTGGCTAGCCTAGGATATGTGTTTCTCATACGTTGAGGGCTGGCCCACAGGCCCCCTCCCCAGTGAAGCCTGACAGCCAGTGGTCATCCTGGTGCACAACCAAGCCCGCATCCACTGTACCTGGTTCTAGCTTGTTGGCATAAGTCACTGCTGGTGCAGGACGCCTGTGGGCCTAGTCCAGATATCAACATATGCTACCAAAGTGACCCTGCCAACAGGTCTGGGAACCCATTACACAGACATATCCCTGTCTAGAGGGTGAAATGGGATTAAAACTGCCGAAAAATTTAAAGTTGGGATCAGCCACAAAAGCAGCTGCTAAGTTCCCTCCCACTGTCCTCTGGGCTCTCCACAAGGGGTGTGTCTGTGTGTGTCTCTGTGGGGGGGCTGTGCAGCACTAACCAGGATCCGGCTCCAAGTGCCCCTCCCTGCTCCGTGGGAACTCCAGAATCTCTGTATGGGGAAGGGGTTGTGGTGGGAAATGGGCTTAGATGTATAATGATGTTCCACCTACACAGCAGTCCTGCTCTTCCTCTACTGCATGCTTATTTGTGTGATTTATAAAGGGGCTGATGGGAAAAGCAAGAGCACCTCAGACCAGGATGTTTATCCTCATGGTCCCACCTGGAAAAAAGCTCAGGGGCGGGATCTGAATGCCCTGCTGTTTACAGAAGTCTCCTAAAATGGAAGTGCTTTAAAAGAGTACATTCCCCTCAAGAAAGGCTTGCTGACGTCATGTGTAGGCAGCAATGAAGACCATAGTAGGTGACAGATAAATAATTATATTCGGAACTCTTACACACACCAACGCATTTCTGTTATACACATACACAAGCATCCCAGTTCCCTCTGAATCCCTGCTTGCCTTCTGTTTTCATCAGACCAAAAGCCTGAGAGGAAAAGAGAGGGCCAGTTCCATCTGGGCACCCACAAGCGGGATCTGTACCAGACACTGCCAACTACTGCGCTAGCCAAGCATACCCCACCTGAAGGCAAAGCCACAGCTCCTGCCCACACTGGGAGGAGCAACTGGTGGGAAAAGCCTGGGAAGGAGGTGCAGTAAAGGGGGCTGTGTGGGGCAAGAAAGGGGCACACTATGGCTGCATTCCTCAGAACAGAACTCCAGGTAAGGGGTGTTTGTAGACCATGGGCAGGATAGCATGACCACCAACGGGACAGGGGGCACAGAGCCTGAAAAGAAAGATTGTAAGCAGAGCAGGACTCAGTCCAGTTCACGACAATAAGGAGGAGGAGCTGGATGAGCCCAGGAGTGACAGAGGGGGACACTCTCTCACTCTTGGGGTGGGGCAGAAGCAGGTGGAGGAGCAGCAAAGGGCAGGGGCCGCCCATGAAGCGGCTCCCAGGCACGCTCCCGGCCCACATTGCAGAGTCCCGCTGGTCTGCGCACTGTCAGAGACAAAAGGCAAACACACAGGGTGTTCTTTACACACTAACTGATAATGATACTTCGCCCTGTCTCTCCCTAGACCAGGATCTCCCCATGAGCTGGAGTCACCTGTGTCCCCAGCACAGGTCTTAGGGCTGGCACACGAGAGCAGCACAATAGGAGGGATGTCTGAATGGAACAGGGAAAGGGACAGAAAGAAAAGGCGGGAAAAGGGAATAAAAAAGGAAAGAACTAGAAAAGGAAAAATGGGGAAAAAAGAGTAGAAAGGAAAGAGAGAAGAAGGTAGGGAGAGGAGAGGAGAAAGAACAGAAGAGGGAAAAAGCAGAAGTAACACAAGAGGAAAGCGGGAGGAAGGCAGGAAGAAGGGTATTAACTCCCTGAGTCTACACGGACCCAGGGATGGGCTTGCGAGGATCTGAACCCCCGTCACGCTCTGGGGGAGCGCAGACAGAGGCGTGTATCCCCAGGAGCAGACTCAAGAAAGGCGACAGGCCAGCTGCTGACCACTGCCCTCAGACCAGGTGTCCGACACAGCTGGAGGAGAAGCTAAGCTCCCCCCAGGCTGGCAAGATGCTGAGTGAGGGGGCCAGGGTGGTGTGTAAGGCCCAGCAGCCTCACTTTGCTAGCCTGCTTCCTAAGGGCAGCCGTGGGCCAGGCTGCCACGGTCCTATCAGCACAGGTAGGTGGCCCCCTTCCCACTGTGCCCCACAGTGGACTAAGCCTCAGATGCCAGAGCTGATACTTACATTACCACCTCCAGGGACATGCTTAATATTGTCCTTGGAACCACACTTGGACTGAATATGGCTGTAGTTCAATTTTTTGGAGACTATCTGGACCTGGAGTGTTAGAGAACAGAAAAAACAACACAAAGGGAGAGGACCAGTTAGAACTGACACAGGGCAGGCGGTGAGTCCACACGTGATCACAATGACCAACAAAGAGTGTCGTTAAAACTCCGCCCCCACCTTCAGCAGAACAGCTGTGGAAAGCACAGAGGAAGGAATTTGAAGGAGCAGGAAAGGGGGTGAAAACATCAACAAACAACACAAAAACAGAAGCAGATGTTGTAAAAGTGCTACATAGTTGTTATCACTGTTCTTTGGGGGCTTGGCTGTGGTTCACAAGGTTGACAGCAGCCAGCCCCAGGTGCCCACCCCGGCATGGCGTGGCCACCCCCTGCCTGCTCTCCCCCCAAAGATTTAGGGTGGCAGTGTCCCATGGCCCATCTGGGTCAGTCCTCACCCAAGGATGGCACTTCCCTTCAATCTGGTGCCTGGCATGGCTGCAGCCAGACCCACTGTGGGAGGCAAAGTCTGCCGGGAGAAGCACTGGGCAGCTGGCTCACAGGGCATAGATCTGATACTAAGAGCAAGGAAGGAACACTGCTCAGCTATAAACGCAAACACACCACAAGCCACTGGACCTGCTGTGCACAATCCTGGACACCAGGGGGAGCGCAGGCTGCAGCCTCAGTAGCTTCCTCTCTAGTCTACTTGTCTCAGGCCTCCAGAAAGCACAGTACAATTAGGGTTTAGGTGGAGACTGAAGGGTAAAATGCCGTCTTCAATCCTCCAGATGCCCAATCCTGTACCCTGGGAGTTTCGTGTGCAGAGGACAGGCAGGGTTACAATAATGCACAATCCAGGGGCATAGCACATGGTACTGCACACGACTGGCTCCCCCTGGAATGTAGCCACACAAAGGCCCAGGCTCCAAGGGCTGGAACAAAGAATTCTTCTGGAGCCTTCTCAAAAGAAACAGTTGCCAGCTTCCTTCCTTCCTTCCTTCCTTCCCTTCAGAGTCCTTTGCAAATGACGCAGCTCCCAAACTGAAGGGTTCTCCACAGAGTAGAAAAATCCACCCTGAATCCAACCCAAATACCTCACCATTTCTTGCCTTCTTTACAAAACAAATATTACTAAACCCTGGTCTAAACCAGAGACCTACAGGACCTCTAGGAGCCAAGGTGTAGCCTTCCTCACCTCACTGACTGCACAAATTCCTTGGGCTGAGACCCACTCTGGTTCTTAAAGGCTGGAGGTCAGGCCTCTCTGACAGCTCTTGGCCAGAGAGACCACCTACCTGTACAGTAAGCAGGAGAACCTGGTTCCCAGGTGGAGGCAACAGGAAAGAACCTACAGGGTTAGCTTACCTCTGCCCTGCAGCTGATGCTGCAACTCCTGTGTGGGACAGGTTTCCGCTGTAATGAGCATCCTAACTTTCTGTTAAGAGGTAACTTGAGGAGCCAGGACAAATGAAGCCATCCCCATACCCAGCAGTGTTACGAAAGGGGCCTTCTAGTTCAACTTAGAGTCTCCAGGGTTCCAGGTGCCAGAAGGTGGAAACCTTCTGTAAAAGTGCCATGTCTTAGTGAAGAAGAACCTGGAGCTCTGAGTGTGTGTGTGTGTGAGAGAGAGAGAGAGAGAGAGAGAGAGAGAGAGAGTGTGTGCACGCGCACACGCGCATAACAGGTAGGTTTCAGATCAAGGTCAGTGTGAAGGAAGTGACTGAAAGTTTTCCATCCATTTTATCCAGCTGAATAAATAGTCCTCAAAGGGTTAATGGGCTCCCAACTGTTAACTTTCAAGGTTGATACAAAAAATTTTCTGATAGCTGAATCATCAAACACTGAGGAAGGCACACAGGAGAGGAGCAGAAACTAGTTTAAGGACAGCAAAAAAAGTGCAACAGAAGGGAAAGTGACTCAGGCTGGAGAAACAGTTTACCACCTTTTACCTTCCAGAGGTAAAAGTCTAAATAAACTCACTTTCCCAGCAGGCGGTTTCTGTGCACTCGCACCTGGGCCAGCTGTTTTAGTGACTGCATTAGGTTCAGGTTTTCGAGCTGCAGCAGCTGCCTCTGTTTTTTCCTCTACTTTGGCCTAGATGGAGATAAACGGAGGGCAAATTTCAAAACAAGAGGACAAAAGCCCAAATGCCAAGAGGGAAAGAAGGCTGGGGACTCGAATTCAGGCCAGGCCACGAGGCAGAAGCAGGTCACCCTTGCTCCTGGGGGGGGAAAAAACCATTTCCCAGGGTAGACCAAGCCAGAGGGAGGAGCTGCAGATCAAAGCTTGAGCCAGGAGAAAGAGATCAGACAGCATTCATGGAGAAAAGGTAGGAAACAGGGTTCAATCAGCGACTCTGCTCTGAGTGTGGGTTGTGGCCATTGTTTTCCAAGCACAATGTCCTCCCACTGAAGTTCTATATGCCCTAAGCATGCCGCCATGGTCACAGGGAGCAATTACTGAGGATGTGAATGTCACACCCTTCAGGTATGTGGGTACGGAAAATAACTGAACTGCCAGACTAGGTTACTGAACTCTCCACCAAGACTTCCTGCACCATGAAAACCTAAGAAGTGCGCAGAACGGGAAGACTGGCCAGTGGCACCACAGCCCTGAGGCCTGGCTGGGTATGCCAGAGCCACAGTCTCCTAGGCCCTCATCCCAGACTAATCCTGTCTGCCATCAGTATCTTCCAACTGTATCAGGATTCAGCCTCATTTTGGACCCTCTTCAATTTTTTAACAGCTTTGGATTGAAGCCATTTAAGTATCCTGCCCTGAGTGGCTTGGTGGTGGTGAAATGCTAGAGGTGACCTACGAGATGACAAGGTTACTGCTCCAGGGACTAGACATTGGAGTTTTGCCACCACCTTTTTCACACACCAAGTCCCCATGGTTGCTAACAATTAACAAGTAATTCCAGGGTGGATTCAAACAGAAAGGCCCGCCAGGTCTTCTCCATCACAACACTCTACAGCAGTCCTTTCATTTAGGACTGACACAGGCCACCAGGACACCCTCATCTTTTCTCAGCCTCTCCACCCACCTGCCTCTCCTGCTGCTCGCAGTGCAGAGGTGAGAACCATGACAAACCAGGTTCACGTCCACTATCTTTCCCCTTCACAGTCCCAGAGGTCTCCTCTGTTCATTTTGTAAAGTAGAACAATCCTTTTGCCTCCAAACAAAAATATAAGACTAAACCCCAAAATAGAGAATAGGAGCCCCTCTGATTCCAACGGGAAAGAGAAGGCCCGGAGCTCGGCCTACCCCTTCCCAGCTGCCAAGTCCACATCCTGACTGCCCCCCTCTAATGCGCCCCAGGGTTGATGTGAGGACATGCTTCAGGAACAGTGGTTGGATGTGGCAGGGAAAGCAGCAGGGGCCAGCATGCCGAGAACTCCAAGGTCCCTGGACCCACCCGGCCTCCTCCAGGCTGATGTTTGATGTTTTCCGTGGAGCCAACCTTGGCGCGGACATTCTTCAGATCAGGGGTGGACGTGCTGGTAGTCGGGCGGCTCAGCCTTGGGGCAGAGGAGCTGGGCCTGGCTGACGTGGGCTTCTTGTCCGTGGCAAGAGTCCCAGAGGGCCGGGGAGACGTGACTGTGGGCTTGACTCGACTGGGAGCCACGCCTGCTGGGGGAGCTGCCCCAGGGACGATGGCGTTCTTCTTCATGGTACTGCTGGAGGTGCTCTTTGAGCGACCCAAGTCAGCTGCAAAGGTAGGAGTGAGACACAAGAAGCATTCATGGGGAGACAGCATCCAGGAGCCTTAAAGCCATGGAGGAGGTGAGGGTTTAAGTTAGGGTTCCACAAAGTGGGGGATGGGGTATTACCTGGTGCAGACTTCGTAACCATCTTCTTGACATCTGCAGGTTTTCCCTCAGTCTTGATGCCTGCACAGACATATGCTTTTTAATATAACATTTAACAAACTCACCTATTGAATGGCTCATGCAATACTGAGATTCATTCATCATTTATTCATTCATTCATTCATTCAACAATTAATGAATGTCCCCTCTGAACCAGGGGCTGTGCTGGTCTCTGGGGATAAAGTAGTACATTAGGCAGCCATGCAAAACCATGGCCTATGCAGGGTACAAGGCCAGGCAGTGCATCTTCTTTTCCAGTTGACAATGCCTTCCACGTGGCCTTAGAAATAGGTGATCAATACACACCTACAGAATTGAATGGCCTAATTCTTATCATGTAGGCCTGTGACTACAATGTACTGGGTGCTATGAAGACACTAAGAAAGGAATAGTAAATTCTACCATGATTCATGACAGTCCCCTTCACTCAAGGTTTTTCTGAATATACCTACCTGCTAACCTCACATGGAGACCAATTCAGCCACTTGCCCACATACCCCATTAAGGACTGATGCACAAGCAGATCTGTACAGCTGTGTGATGCTGGCTCGAGCTCTGGCTGGGACAAAAATCCCCACTCTCCTCCCAACTGGTTCTCACAGGGGAGAAGGGTGACAATACTCACCAGTAGGCCTCCTGGGCAGGGGCATGGGGGCGCTCCTACTGCTTGGCCCAGCTGAGGCAAGAGAGGCAGCCGCTGTGGCTTTTGGAACAGTCTGGGTGCTCTTGGAGCCAGGCCTGAAGGATGGGGCAGAGGCCGGCTTGGATGGTGTAGTCTTCTTCTCAGGAATCTTTGCATCTGCAACAGGCTAATAGGCAAGTGGGAATAAGAGCTGCAGGTCAGCAATAGCCCCAGGAAGTCATTCCAAAGGATGCTCCCACAGATGCACACACCAGGAAACAGGGTTCTGTGGGTCTGGAAGCTACTGATAGGAAAATATATATGGTTCTAGGATCAAAGTCCTCCAGGGAACGTGAGAAACTGGCCCTGTAGGGTACTGTGTGATCTGGTGTCAGGAAACTGAGCCAAACCTCAAGCCAACCTGAACTAATGAGAATGAATGGCCCTGGAAAGTATACCTCATCACACATGTGCCTCAGGCTCTACTGCACTAAATACTGATGTATTTAGTGTATTATATACTTGACCAGAGATTAACAAATACATAAACAGAACAAAAATTTTAAATGATGTCCAGTCAAATTCAGCCATTCTTTCGGCTTAGATGCACCTGGTGGGTGCTGAACAGGCTAAGGCTACAGATGCGGAGAACACTGGTCCAAATCTGGCCCCCAACTCAGTGTGTTCCTGGGCAAGTCGCAGAGCCTCTCTGGGCTTTAGTTCCTCCCTCATCTGCATAAGGGAAGCTGAACACAGGATCTCTAAGGCAGCTTTGATAACATGTGATGCTAGGAACTAGAGAGTGGCAAGTCTCAGGGACCAGAGGCGATGAGAAGGGGCAAGCGGAGGATGCAGCCATGGCCAACAGAGGGAATGAGCAGCACAGATGTCAGAGCTACGAATGAAAGCAAGAGAAATCTCTCAAGTACAGATGTGCCTGGGTCACTGTTCCATGGAGCCTGGGCATGTTGTCGTTAGCAAGGAAGCAAGGGAATCACTTTAGCCTGGTTTCTACAGGAGCAGGGGGATGAACACACTATTTTGATACGCAAATGTACCATGTTACTCAAGAGAGTAAGCCAAACCACAGATACAGTGGATGCAGATCTTTAACTCCAAGAGAAATGGCCACTCGGAGTGCAATATGTTGGCAGAGACAAACAGGATATTGCGTAAATGGAAAACCAGCTAAGGAGGTGCAAAGAAATTCAGAGCTGGCATCCAAATAAATAAAACTTAACCCTGCAAGTACAAGGCAATGTCCATTTATACAAAGAAAGTCCCTAAGTATGGTACTAAGAAGCCTAAGGCTGGAATCAGAGGAACCAGTTCAGCTACTAGCTCTGTTCAGAACGTTTCTGGTGTGTGTGCAGAGGGACTCCCTCTGGGTTGGCACTAGAATTTTAGGACAAACCAGATGCTCCCTAAGGTCTCCTTCGAGTTATCCACCCTATGAATATGATTCAGAATAATCTAGTGGGATCTTAATATTTTGCTGGTAACAATAACAATGATACAAGAAGTTAGAAAAAAGGTAACGCAGAGACAGAATTCTCTAAAGGATGTGACATTCTTTGCAGGTCAGGCTCTTGGCCTCACCCAGCTGCAGAGCCAGCCTGTTTTCCTAACTAGAGTTACTCTGTTTCTCAATTTTTTATTTTCCCTTTGGCAGATTCATATATCTACTTATTTTCAAATACATTTTCTCCCCTTGTTTGCTTCTATAAATCTATCCAAATAAGGATAAAAAGATAAGAATAAATTTCATTAGACTACAGTATTTATCAATCTCTCAATCCATCTGTTTCTTATATAAAAGGCAAAGAAGAGTAATAATTGTCATTCAGGTCACCTCTTCAGGTAACTTGAATGCAGTTTAAAAACTGGATGGCAAAAAGCCATGAAAGAACAGTGTTCATAGAGGCCCTGAGCATCAACATTGATTGGCACTGGACCCAAGTTCAAATACTGCCTCTGCCACTTACCAGCACTGGACTTTAGGACAGTTACCTAAATGAGCTATGAAATGATGGCGCTGATACCCACATCTTGGCCGCCAAGAGAGCGAATTCAAGAGTTAATGTGTATAAAGAAAGCAGTATAGTACACGTCACTTTTCTTTTTATTATAGCGTGTTATTTCACTAGACACCCGTTCCTCCCTACTCCGTCCTCGGTCTCCCCCAGGATTTGCTGCTGAGTGTCGGGGGAAAGCTGCGCTGTGGCTCCAGTCACCTTCCTTCTACTCTCCTATTCTAAAAAACTGTTTTCTGAAAATCAAGAGAAGCAGTCAACTGGATAAATGAGGATCAGAAAGCTTTACGAGATTTTATCATTCCTCGTCTATGACAGAATTTCTCAGTTTCCTGGCCAGGATTCAATTCCTAGGTTCCAACAGGTTTTTTCACAAGGTTAGATTAAAACACTTAACATTTTAACATAGAAACTATTTCCCAACATGAATTTAAAGAAGACATCAGGCTGACCTAAAGGCCCTTCTTGAATAAAATAAGATGTTAAGGTAGGCAGATTCCACCCATGCTCTCCTCCTCCTAGATACCTCTGTGAAGCTCATGCTGTTCCAAATCGACCATTTTCTGGGCAATAATGTGTGGGTGACCTGGAAAACTGAAAAAACTTCAGAAGCAGCCCAGTGAGAGGTGGCCTCATGCCAAAAGCAAAGCAAGTTATCACATGATGCCGGGACCTGCTGAGACAAGCTGGAGGAACTTACCACGAAGGGAATGGGTTAAATGCAGTTTGCAGGATGATCAAGAAGGGCAAAGAAGGGAATGGGACGCGAGAATCACGGCAAAAAGGAGTGTCTGAATAGTATGTGGGGAAGGGGGACTGGTTAGCAAGAGTTTAAACAGGTGAAGAGTAAGGGGAGTTGGGAGAAAGGAGAAACCAAAGTAGATGTTGGCTTCCCGACCAGGGCAGGGAAAGGTAAAAAGTATAAAAAGGCCTTCAAGTGGTATAGCTGCACCAAGAGCCCCCAAACCAACTGTCAAGTCACCTTTCTCTGGGCTTTCCCCAGTCCCACCAGCCGGATTCCACTGTCTGGCAGCAACCAGACCCTGTCTACCTGACACTTGGCGGGGAAAACCTTTCCCTGCACAGTGCTTAGGTGACTACTTACCTTGGGCTTCACGTCTTTTGAAGGTGAGATGGAAGGCCTGGCAGTGGTGGCAGCAGGGCGTTTGGGTGGGGCAGCTGGTACTGAGCCTGAAGCAAGGCTCATGGGTTTTTTAGTCGACCCACCAAAGGTGGTGGGAGCTGGATGCTTAGGGAGAGAAGTGGGCTGTGTTTTGGCTTTCGATGTTGAAGTCTTTGCAGGCTGAGTTGTGGCCAAAGGCTTTAAGTTGATTTGTTGGTGTGTTTTTTAAAGGCCAACATCAAACACACAGACAAGAATAAAAACAAAATGTAAAAAAAGTATAAATTGCACAATTCAAAGTAAAATTATAAGCAATGAGGAGAGATGCAACTGAAAATCAGCATTCCTTTTTTCTGAGCTCAGTAAATTGTAGAAAGGCAGCAGGATAGAGAAAAAGAAAACTGGGAACTCTTTCTTAATGACAGTGTGACAAATTCCAGCGGTCTGACACCTAAAGACTTAAATTCAGTAACAGCTTTAAACAATTAACTAACTTTTGGTGGCTGTAATAATCCATGAAAAAGTTACCAGCAGGTAATTATGTTACCATTACTTGCACCTCGATGAGGCAACATAAGCATCCTGTTTTAAAATCACACTAAAAAGTGTGCCATTTGAACTTTGCAATTAGTACCAATAAGTGTCTGAAGCTATGATTCACCATAAAAATTTGTGTTCCCTTTTATGAATGCAGATTTTGGAATCTATTTCAAGAGTGCTGAAACACCTTTTGCTGCTATTGAGAAGCACAAACAACCTCTACAGAACATTTCTACAGATATTCAAAATAATAGGGTCAAAGGCAGCAATATTAAGGTTTGAGTTAAGCCATTATGGTAAAATGGGAATATAAAATATTTTTTAAGCACATCCAAACTTGAGAAAGGACTAACCACTCAGAAAAAAAGAAATTTCATTCACAATTCAAGCAATAATAGCTGAAGATACCATTAAAAAAATCACAGTGGTAAAAGATAACCCACCATTCTGGCAACTACCTTTGTTTTCTTCTCTGGGCTTGGTGGGAGCTCCTTGTTTGGAGGGGCGGTGATGTCATTTCCGGTCAAGCTCACAGTAGGTTGTCCGTCTTCTGGCTTGGATATTCCTAACGGGAGAAGTTATGCTAAGCAAATGTTTTTCATAACCATTTCAAAAATGCAAGTCTTAGCAGAGACAACTAACTAGCACTTCATTCTGAAAAAAGCCCACAGCACTGTGCTGCTGAAATGTGGACAAGACTCCCAAGCTCCCCTCATTGTGACGGAGGACAGTTTTAGATTCCAGAGATTCAGGCAGCCTGTCCCTGTGGGGAAGCAACCTAAGTGGGACTTACACAAATGATCAAGGGAAGGAAATGGCCCTTCAAGTTTGGTTTCCCTTCCCTGGAGACAGACAGGCAAAGGGGTTCTGTCACCCAACCACTAACTCCCAGCACACACAGGGGACAAAAACCTCTTCTACTACAGTTTATCTCTTGGAATAAAGGTTGCAGAGAGATGGGATAAGTGCCAGAAGATCATCCAATGTCCTCCTCTTACTTCCTTTCCCTGTAAAGCACCACTTTATGGAGGATGTGAGATTAACTTGATCTAATTCTAGCAGTGACCCAGATTTCCAACAAGGCCGAGGAGACCCATGAAATCAGACCCAGGGCCAGAAAGAAAGTCTATTGCCTAAGGCTATGCCCAGCAGCACCACTGCAGGGAGGTTACTCCAGATTTCAATAAGGGTATACCTGAAAGCATTAAAATACCATTAAATTTTAACCTGGGCATAGAAAAAACCTTTCTAATTGGCACAAAATTCAGAAGCCACAAAAGTAACTTTGACTACAAAAAAATAAAAACCTTCAATAAGGCCAAAATAACAAAAAAGTCAGAAGGCAAGTGATAAACAGGAAAAGAAATATCTGAACTTCACACCAAAGACAAATAATTTATTATATAAATTACTCCTATAAATCAGTAACTCCTATAAAGGCCAACAACCCAGGAGAAAAATGGCCAAGAGAATATGAACACAGTTTACAGAAATACAAGTCACTTTTGAAAATAAGGAAAGATGTCTAATTTTTAAGAAAAATTAAAATTAAAACTACATGGAGCCCGGCCAGGCATGGCTCAGTGGTTGAGCGCCAACCTAGGATCCAAGCGATCAGGGTTCGATTCCCGGTCAGGACACATGCCCAGGTTGCGGGCTCAAGACCCTGTTGGGGGCGTGCAGGAGGCAGCCGATCAATGACTCTCTCATCATTGATGTTTCTCTCTCTCTCTCTCCCTCTTTCCTCTCTCTGAAATCAATAAAGATATATATATTTTTAAAAACTACATGGAGATGCTAATTTTAACCTAACATGTTGTCAAACATTCTAAAATTTGAAAGTAACTGTTGGGGACAATATGAGGACATACACTGCTGGTAAATGTCTGAAATGGTACAACTCATGTGCAGGGCAGTCTTGCAGTATCTCTGAAAATTACAAGTGTAGATAAATTCTAACCCAGAAATCCAATTTCTAGAAATTTATCTTAGAGATACATTCATATACCTACAAAATAGCAAACATCACTGTCTTCTCAGAGCACTATTAAAAAAGCAAAGGCCTGAAACAACCCAGAGTCTGTTAATAGTAAACTAGTTATATCAATGTAATCTCTGAATCTGAAAAAGTAAAGCACTAAAAAATTCTTTCCAACTGATATGAAACAATCTCTAAGTGAAGAAGAAGAAAAAAGCAAGGCACAGAACAGTATGTATAATATAAAACCATTTGTCTAGAAAAGAATGGGATAAAATACATTTTTATTGCAAATACACCTGTACATGCATTAAAAAAAACCTTTGGAAGAATCACGATGAAACAAAACAATGGTAACTTAATTTGAAGGGGGCTGGGGCACAAAACTAGGGAGGATAGAAGACTTTATTTTAAAAACTTTTGGTTTAAAAATAATTATAGCTTCACAGGAAGTTGTAAGAAAATGTATAGAGAGGTCCCATGTACCCTTCAGACAGCCACCCCCAGTGCTGACATCCTCCATAACTACAGTTCACTATCTGGTACAACCCACAGAGCTTATTCAGATTCTTCATTTTACATGGATTCATTTGTGTGTGTGTGCAATGCACCTGCAAGTATCTGCGGTTCTATGCAATTTTATCAATTTCATGTAACCACTACTAATAATTAAGATACATAACTGTTCTAATACCACAGAGCTCCCTCACGGTCCCCTTTATAGCCACCCCACCCCCTTCCCAATCCTTAAATTTCTGGCAACTACTAATCTGTTCTCCATCTCCATATTATTATTTCAAAAATATTAGACAAATGAAATCAATCACACAGTGTGCTACCTCTTGTGTCTGGCTTCTCTCTCCCAGCATAACAATTGTAGGATGCATCAGTGTTGCATGTATTACTAGTTAGCTCTTTTTTACTGCTGAGTGGTGTCCCACAGTATAACTATACCACAGTTTAACCAGTCACTTACTGAAGGGCATTCTGGTTGTTTCCAGTTGTTAGCTATTATGAACAAAGCTGCTACGAACATTTATGTAAAGGATTTTGAGTAAAGCACGTTCACTGTTAGTGTATGGAAATGAAATTAATTCTTATATGCTAATAGTGTATCCTGTAACCTTGCTGAACATACTATTAGTTCTAGGGGTCTGGGGGTAGATGCCTTGGAACTTTCCATATAGACAATCAATCATGTCATCTGAAAATAGAGCCAGACTTATTTCTTCCTTTCTAATCTCTATGCTTTTTATTTCCTGTTCTTGCTTTACTGTGCTAACTAGAACTTCCAGAACTATGTTAACTAAGAGTAGTGAGAGGGAGCATCTTTGCCTTGTTTCTGATCTTCAGCTGAAAGTATTGTCTTTCATTATTAACTATTCTCCCTCTTGTTTGATGAGTTTTATCAGGCATGAGTGGTCAATTTTGAATTTTCTGTGTTTATAATTTTTCTTGCTTAGACTGTTGATATGGTGGGTTACATTGGTTGTTTTTGATTACTGAACCAGCTTTGCATATCTGGAAAAAATTCCACTTGGCTTCATATATTGCTTGATGTGATTTGTTAACATTTTGTTAAAAATGTTTACATCTAAGTTCATGAGAAATATAGGTCTGTAGTTTGTTTTGTACTGTATTTGTTTAGGGTATCAGGTATTTTTATGTGAAAAATTAAGTGTTAATTATTATTTTTTTAAAATATATCTTTATTGATTTCAGAGAGAGGAAAAGGGAGGGAGGGGGAGAGAGAGAAACATCAATGATGAGAGAGTCATTGATCAAGCCCACAACCGAGGCATGTGCCCTGACCAGGAATCGAACCCCAATCACCTGGATCCTAGGTCGACGCTCAACAGCTGAGCCACGCCCAGCCAGGCAGTGTTCATTATTCTTTAAATGTATGGTAAAATTCTCCAGTGAAACTATCAAAAGATTTTTAATTAAAAATTCAATTTCAGTAATAGTTTTATTCAAGTTATCTATTTCATACTAGCTGAGTTGTAATTTGTGGTCTTCAAGCAACTGGTCCATTTCTTCTAAGATGCTGAATTTGTGGGTGTATAGGTGCTCCTAGTATCCCTATTACCATTGTAATGGATGGATTGGTATCTCCTGTTTCTGTTATTGGTAGTTTGTATCTTCTCTCATTTTATCTTTGTCAGTTTTGTTTAAGTTTATCAATTGTATTGGTGTGTTTTTTTAAGAACCATGTTTGGTTTAATTGATTTTATTTTCTTGTTTACAATTTCGCTGATTTCCATCCATAATCTCCATTTGGTACTTTTTTATAAACATCTATTTCTTTGCTGAGATTTTCTAGTGTTTTTATTTATTTCAAGAGAAAACATAATTGCTTGTTGAAGCAATTTTAAGGTGGTGCTTTAAAATTCAGTTTTGTACTTTAGCAGATAATCACTGTTTAAACTTAGCAAGCAGGTTCTGGTTATAGTTTCAACAACAATTTCATTTCTAGAGCCCGTGTAGTTCTGGCCTGCTGTGTTCTAGCTTCAGGAAGCTCTCACTCAACCCATGCTGCTACTGCCTGTAAGGGCTCAAGGCACTTCCCTAGATCACGTGGTTTTACTAGGTGGGGGTTAAGTGATGCCAAACACATGGAATACAGAGATTTTCCTGGCCTATTCTCTGGCTACCCAGTGCTGGCAGACTTCCTGTTAGATCTCTGCTGGTGCTACTGAGAGTGGGAAGCACCTACCTAGCCTTCTGCTGCTGGAGGGAAGGGTGGAGGAAGAAATCTATCTAGGTTTCTTTCTGTCCTGGGGTGGAGGCCTGGAAGACACCAGGCCAATAGGTGCTGCTGGGAGCAGAAAGTACCTACCTTGGTCCCCTTCTGCTACTAAGAAGAAGGCTGAAGACACCAGGCCTATAGGTGCCACTGGAGCCGTCACCTAGTAAGGGATAGGGAATGGGTCTCCCTGCCAGTGTGGGTGGATCACACTGCAGTGCTGCCAATGGACCAGGCCTGCACCTGCTGCCGGACATGGAATAAATAACAGGTAGGCCCTCATGAACTCTGCTGACACTATCTACAGGAGGACTGATCCCACTGCTGCTGCTGGATATGGGCAGGGAAATGGGTTCATCACTGGGTCTTCTACTGGGCTTCCCCTTTCCTGGCCTTTTGGCAAGAAAGAGCAGGCTTTTCTTTCTCCCCCGCCCCCCCCATGCTTGGTGATTTCAGGCTGCAGGCACTCTCCAGTGCCCAAACTGGGATATATGGACAAATTTTTAAAAACCCAGGGAACTCACTGCACTGTCCTTCCTCAAGTCCTGAAGTCCCTACCTAGTCTGCCCTCTCCTTTCCACCTTTCAGATTCCTTTCATGATTATCTGTTGAATTATTTCAGAGTATTTAGTCCTATTTACTTGAAAGGAGCAGGACAAAATGAATCAATGTCATCTTGTCTTGGTAGGTGGTTTTCTAATGTATAGAATTTTTTACTCTGTGGTATTTGAAATCATGTATTTTTAGTCAACAACTGAATTTTGTTAGTTTAAAAAATGTGAAGAAAGAATAAAAACCATCACACAAGGCTGGTAATACTGCCTTTGTTCTATAGCAAGCT